GCGGGAGGCGTGGGCGCGGGGGGCGTGGGCGCTGGGTGACGGGCGGGCGAATTTCCGGCGAATAACGGGAAGTTTTAGTTTCCGTACTGCGTACCGAAAACATCACGCTGGCTTCCAGCAGCGTGCTGGCGTCAGAAATACTAGAGCTTAGGGGCTGGCATGCGCTTTTGATAGTTGGTGTGTCGAGCGGATGACAGTATAAAGTGAATATTTAAGTGTTCTTAAAATACCTGGAGTCCCTTCTTCCTTACCCCTTAACGCAGCCACGGTTCTCTGATCCCCAAAATGTTGTGTAATAAGGCAGATTTCAGATTTTTATTTTTTTTTTAAATTCCACATGTTGCCATTGAAAGTGACAGTGTATGTGCATGAGGGAAAAGAATTTTAAATTAGCGTGAATTTAAAGAGTTAAAGTAAAAAAAGCCTTTAAAGTTAAAAGAACATCTTTTAAAGAGAAGCTAATGATGCCGCTCTAACGACCAACATAAAAATTGGCAGTTTGACAAATGAATAACGATAGCGTAAGCTTTTTGGTAGATGGGTCATGTTTTCCTCGGTGACTTGTAGCGATGTATTTAGTGCTCAGTTAAACAAGGCCTAGAAGTTTGTAGAATTCATCTAAGGCAGTTAAAATTCTGCAGCCCTGTCGCCGTGCCCTGCTAAGGCAGCTTTGCAGGGGTGGTACCACGGCCGTGCGTCCTGTTGCAGTTACGTGTTAGCCTGTTGATACCTGCTCGAGTGTTTGTTGTTACCACACGTTAGGGATGAAACTGGGCTTTGGATGGGCCTTTGCCCGAAATCCGTGCTGTTACTAAGCTTGCTCAGTTTTGCCTGTTAAAAAACCAGATTTTTGCAAGTGAATTTGGGACCTGAAAATCAGACTCTGTTACTAAGTGGTTTGCCTCTTGGATGAATCATGAGGGGTCAGGAGGTGGAACTGTCACTTTTACTATTTTAACTCAATTAAAAAAAGAAAGGAGAGGAAGATTTTCTTTCGGGAAGAGTTTGTCATGCATCCAGATGTCAATTTTTTACCCCTGCTTACTTACAAGATCTGTGCAGAAATCCTGGTTTCTTGAACAACAGAGATGATCTCAGAGCTCACCGAACCCTTTTCGGACAGTGCTCAGCTCCAGCAGCGCTCTCTCCAGCTTTTGTTCCAGGATGTTTTGCTCGCACCTGTGGAAGATGCATTTGATGCTTTGCTTTGCCTGTGGGGCCCAGTTTCTTGCGCTTACCTCGATGCCAGTTTTTGCTGAAGGAGTTTCACATCTAAAGGTTTCATTGTGTTGATGCCGCTTTGCATAGCTTAGATCCCAGAACACCTTTCAGGTGCCTGCAGTTGTTAACCATGGACGCTTTGTAGCCAAATAGTGTTTTGTGTGGCTGTAGCATTCCCATCTGCTAACTTGCAAGGCGTTAGTGCAGATTGGTGAGAACTTCTGTGTTTCTCAGCAAAGGGATGCGCAGGATATGCTTGGCGGTGTAGCAGTCCCTTGGGATCGCTGTGAATGGCAATAAATGGTGGCCGCCTTAGGACACTTGTGTGCTGTGTCTCTGGTTCGGTTCTGCTCTCAGTAGCCGGCATGCGGTAGCTGCTGTCCTTTCAGGCACCACATGCGTAGACCTGCTGTAACCAGCTGGACGTCTGTGGTATCTGGCCAGGGTAAGTGGAAAGCTGTGGTGTGGCTTAAAAAAACCAAACCTGTCACATATCCTATATCCTAGAGAAGAATTTAGAGGAGGATGTTCCATTTTTATTGAGGGCATTGACAGAAAGTGGCAAAGCCCCTGAAGACCCGTGACGTTACCAGGATGCTCTGATTCTGTGGCAGCCTAAGCTCATTTTTCTAAAAACCATCCCCCTCCTCCCCTCGCCCCAACCTTCCCGTGTTTTTCATATGCTGAGATTAGCTCCTTATATTTGTATTTAGAATGTACCTAGGCTGTAGTTTCTTTTCACTTCCCATCAAATGTGGAGGCTCTTTATCTGTTCAAGACTGAAATCTCAGATTATGCTGTAGCCATGCGTCTCCAGGCTACCAGGATTTACCAAGTGCTCTGATGTTCCTGATGAACTGAGGACAGGCCAGGATGGTGCAAAGGATTTACAGGTCTCCTAACAACTTTGTCAAAATTTATTTTACTTTTTAGACCACAATGAATGTGGAACATGAAATTAGCCTCTTGGTTGAGGAGATTCGGCGGTTGGGAACCAAAAGTAAGTATTGTAATATCTCTGACCATACAGATATAGTTGTGTTATAGATACATGTATGTATATGACATACATGTCATACAGATGGAGTCATGTGATGTTAATTTATGAACTTGGCAAATTTAATTAAGCAGGCTCAGGTAACCTGAAAACTTGCATATATACTTAATGTTGGACTGCATGGTGCTCCCTATGTCCCATCCTTTAAAGTCGTTCTGTTATGAAGTTAAACATTTAAGCCTCTGCAGCAGAGAGGATGTAGGCTTGAAATCCTGCTCCCACTAAAGTCAACTGCAAAATTACCTTTTTCTTCAGGCTTGCAATACTTGCTACAGCCATCAAAGAAGAAAGTTGCACCTTTTCCTTCCACTCCTTCCTTGGTAACTTCTGAACTTTAGAATTCATACGCTTCAGTTCTGTTCATCATGGTATTATTTGGAAGGAATTGATCTGTGTGCCTAAAACTAATCCAGGAGTTATAGGTGTAGTCCCAACCTTCCTTGAACTTGCTTAGTAGGTAGCCTTTTCTCTGAAGATTGTTCTTCATTGTTAAAACTCCTTTTTCTTTACAAATATTTATGCAATTCGTGGATGTGCTACCTGCTCATATATTTCAGTTTTGTTGCCATTTTGTTCAGTTCCACTTGTTTTTCAAAGCCTAAATGGATACGTGCGTTTTGTATGACTGCATCTGCCTTTTAGGAATAACCTAGCTAACTTTAACATATATTTTCAGATTCTTGCTTTGTGTGAGAAATGAATTGATATTGCACCTTTTTCAATGTGAACCTTAAATATTGTAAGTGGAAAAAAAATTATTTAAAAAAAATCCCAATAAATTAACATTTTAATTATTTAAAACTAATTTCCTTCTTAT